ACATAAATTCCCGAAAGTAATCCGGGGCGATGTGTGGCGGCTCGCGCGCGAACTCGTATTCGCGGCGATACGTCGACTCGAATTTGATTATAGAAGCCGCAGCCGTGAGAGAGAAAGAGATAGGACTCCGTAGGGTGCATGCAACGGGGTCGGCCGATGGATGCTCGGGACGTAGCACATACGGACCGGGGAACATAAAAAGGGACGTGTTTTATTTAAAACCGACGTCGGTCGACGCTCCACTAAAGTCGTATATAGCGATACAGTATGCGCGTCGCCGTTATAGCGGGGAATATCACATCTCATGCATTATTCAACTTGATATCGATATTACTAATTCAATTGCAATTCCACTTTCGCGTACGCAAGCTCGGGGTTTTCCAGGCATACTTGGTGCCTAATTAATACGCCGATGTTAAAAATTATATCGGTCAAAATATTCGCGCGTTCCGCGAAAATATTGCCACGCGATCTCGGTACCATCACTTATGTAACGTGAAATCTTGTGCGATAATAAAAAAAATCTGAATTTTTTGTATATTATTTTTATATTGTTGATCTATATAAAAGATATAAAAACTTTTTCAAATTGTTTAAATAATATTAATTACGCAGCAGAAACTTCTTGTTAGAAAAAAAACGGATTGAATGTGTCACGCGTTAGAAAAGCGTCCCTTATAAAAACAGTATTCTTTATTATTCTGGGCTATTCTGAAACGCCGGGTGTTTCCGCGCTTTTAAAGACGACCCTGACGTAATGGATGCATTTATCTCGGTGTCACGTAAGTGCTTTGATAACGATAGAAATTGTGTCATCGACGGCGTGACTAATAACTGACGAAGAACATGTCGCTTGCTCCCTGAGTAAGTACTGACGGAAGTCGCGGCTCGTTACGCCTGCCTCGACGTATCGCACACCGTGTACACGTACGTGTGTGTATCCGCTTTAATTCGATTATTCCGTTAATAGATATTTCAGGTATCAGAGCATTAGAAGAGCTCAA